CACTTTTAATCCAGGTTACAATAATCCACACTTTAATCCAGGTTACACTCTTCCCTCAAGGACACATTTTACAAAGTAGCTACATATTGTGCAGGTGTAAAGACACATTTGTATATATTTTTGTGTACATTAATTTTTTTAAGCTATTTGACTAACTTTTATTTTTATTATTCAATATTTTACTAACAGAATAGTCAAACAGCAACCAACCTGTTTTTTGTGTGAACTGCTATGTCAGTCAAATGTTCAATTTTGGAATAAAGGGGTGGAAATTAAAACGTTGGTTTTTTTTTTCGATTCATCAATTAATTGAAAAAAATAATTGTCAGATGAATCGATTATTGAAATAATCGTTAGTTGCAGTCCTACCACCCGCTGCTCCTGAGGTCCCTACGCCGCCTGCTGTGCCTGAGGTTTCTACGTCAGCTGCGGTCTCAATAAAAGCCGCAGTCTCCCTGGGCTCATCATCATCTGCAGCCTTCCTGGTTGCATCTACAGTACAGCTGCAATTTCCCAGGTTGCCACACTAGCTGCAGAACCCATGGTCCCTCCACTCCTCTTTCCCCGTGCTGGGCAGTCATGGTCTTATAGGGTGTCCATCACCATCAGCTGCCTACAGGACATGTCACCCTCTGCTGAACCAACTTCTTGCCGCCCACCTGAACTTCTGCCATGTGCTGGATGGCCTCCTGACCGCCCACCTGAACTATGGTCCTGTCATGGGCAGTCCCCTGACCGTCCACCTGAAGTATTGTCCCATAATGGGCGGTCTCCCGGCCATTCCCCTGAATAATAGCTCCATGCTGGATGTCCTGAACTATGCCCCTGCAATGGACAGTTGCCTGACCACCTGATCTGTTTGTGTTTCCTTGTGTGTTGTTGTGCCTTACCCCCTGGGGTATCCTGTCAGTCTTTAGGTTCACCCTCATGTTTTTTCTTTCTGCCCTTCGCCTGTTGGTTCCCCTCTCCTCCCACCCAATTTTTTGGGGAGTGGGTTTTTGGAGACATTAGGGGATGTCCTTGGAGGGGAGGGACTGTAAGGATTGTGTTTTCATGGTGTCTGGCCCCCTCTTGTGTGATGTTTCTGTCCTGCTCTCCCCTTTGTCATTACCCCCTGCTTCCCACACCTGTGATGTTTCACAAGTGTTTTGTGTTTAAGTCTCGTTAGTACAGTAGTCCCTCGCTACTTCGCGGTTCATTTTTTGCGAACTCGCTCTATCACAGTTTTTTAAAATAAGACTGGACATGACACACAATTGGCTGGTTAATAATAATAATAAGTGCTATGTGTTGTCATCATTGTTGGCTCCCATACAATGGCAAAATTGGTTTTTTACATTTAACCCGTCACACCTGGGATACACCCAGGTGGAGCAGTGGGCAGCTATGTAAGTACTGGGGGAGCAATTAGGGATTAGTTGTCTTGCTCAGAGACACCACGACATGTGGGAATGGCTGGGGATCGAACCTGCGACTTTCAGGTACCAAGTCGACTGCCCTACGTCTACCCCATCTTGGCCCATCCATTGATGGATGAGTCGCACGATCGGCATGGAATTTTTATTGAAAATAAATTATTTTAAATTGTTTAGCACCTGCTGCACCTCTGTGCAGCCCACACTGCAGGATAAACTTCCTCCTGCAGCTGATCAGCTGTTCTCTGCAGGTCAGATAAGTGGGCGTGGCCAAGAGTGCTTGCAGGTGGCTAAGAGCAGCGGAGGCAAAGAGAGTAAAATCATGATATTCTGTGCTCTTTTAGAGAATTTAGAATTTAGAAACATTGTTTAGAATATTGCCTACTACTTACTACTTGTACTACTATCCCTACTTTGCGGTTTTTCACGTATCGCAGGGCTTCAGGGTACGGATCCCCTATGATAAACAAGGGACTACTGTATTTGTATAAAAGTCTATGTCTACTGTTCCTCGTCAGCTGGTCATTGTCTCTTCATGCCTGCCTTGCTCCCTGTGGTTCCCAGGATCTCCTGTTAATGTGAGTTTTTGCTGCCACATCAGTGTGTTTGTTTTTTAAATAAATTATTTTTATACTACATCTTGGAGTCTTTAGTGTTCTGCCTGCACCACTGGATTCAACCTTAAAACCTCAGCTTATGACAGTGAGTCTGTCATGGTTGGATTCAAACCAGCAGCTCTGTTACAATGGCTTAACATTATTTTTCACTGTCGCACAGCTCCAAGCCATCATTGTCCTCGCAGACTGGCCGCAGTTCTCACCCTCCACATGGACAACAGCCAGGTGAACGGTCACATACATGACAAGAATCATTAATGTTCTTATTGGGCGGCTGTGGCTGAGTAGTTAGAGCAGTCGTCCTCCAATGCAAGAGTTGGGGGTTCGATTCCACCAGCAGTAACGTGTCAAAGTGTCCCTGGGCAAGACACTGAACCCCCTCATTGCTTCCGATGTGTGTCCCATCGGTGCATGAATGTGATAAAGCTCTGATTATTCTTTGTATAGGTCTAGTAGAGAGCTGTATGAATGAGTAAATGAGGGCACAGGTTGTTGTAAAGAGCTTTGAGTATCTTGATCAGATAGAAAAGTGCTATTTAAGTACAGTCAGTTTGCAGTTATGATAAATTGTTAGTTTTATTTTTGTGCTCTTCAAGCAATATATAGTTATGAGATTAATATTCTACATAATGTCAGCTGTTCCAGGTCAAACTACTTGTTTTTATTCTTTAAACTACCGGAGTGATAAGATAGAAAAGAATGCGGGCTGATGGTTCGTGTTCCTTTGGGCCAGAGAGCAGCTGCATAAGTGCCATGCCTCCATGTGTTCTGAAAAACATTGGTGGGCTGCTGACCTACAGTTTCTCGATCACGTGCAGTCTGCAGATCGTTTGAAAGTTTCTTTGACTTTAGTCCTGCAGATCCCATACAACTCGCCTAGTTCCCTCGCACGCTGCTCATCAACAACCAACATGTAAGTCTTTAGTCCCATTCTGTCCACGTCTTCAACCCTTCCTCCCTGTGCGAGTGTTTAGTCCTCTGCTTTTCACGTTTTCAATCCTTCCTCAGTGTCTGAGTATTTGTTCCCTTTCTGTCCACACCTTCAAGCCTCCCTCCCTGTGTGTGAGTCTTAGTTTAGTCCCTTTCTGTCCACGTCTTTGACCCTTCCTGCCTGTGTGTGAGTAGTCCCAGTATGTTCATGTTTTCAATCCTTTTTCATTCAACTTTTATTTCTACACGTCAATCCCAATGAGCCTCGGGGACTAATTTACAAGAGAGACCTGATTTTAACAAAGAGTGATGACAACAATGGACAACAAACACAAAATAGACAATCATAAAATAAAGCATACAAATTGACCAGAACAAATTAAAGAAAATGGTATTAAAAAATAAACAAAAACATCTAGATTGTAAAGTTTTTCATTAATTCATTCATTCAACCTTTATTTAAACAGATAAGTCACACTGACCCTCGAAGACTCATTTACAAGTGAGATCTGTTTGGACAGACAATAAGTGGTGAAAAATGACACAGGGTTTGGAGACAAAAAAAAATCCTAACACGCTTTTAACCTCTGTTTGAAGGTCAACAGTGTGGTAATGAAAAAAAATCTCGCACATGAGCACATAATGACGACGACATTACGCGGGACACAAGGGCGGTGAGCAGCCAGAGACAACACACAGAGGCACTGCAGAGTTCAGATAAAATCACTCAGTTCAAATAGTTCCCTCTGGAGAGATCCGTGCACACTCAGGGGTTGCCGAGGACGACCAAAGACGAATCCAGAGTCCTGAAATGATAACAGAATGTTTATTCAGCTGGGCTCCTCTGAAAAGTCCATGGTGATTCCTCAGTAGGAGGTGGAGGGAGGGGTTGAGCATCAGGTTTACAAAACTTCCAGGCGGGTTGAGATAAGACGTCCTGTCAAGGCCAGTCAGGGAGCTGAATTCAGATAAACATGATTATTTTGGGGACAGGAAGAACTTTAATGACATCTACCTTGAGTCTGTGTCGGTCCACTTGCTTCCGAAACATCCAAACTAAATGACCATACCAATGGACCGTGCCTGAGAATAATCCCCGAGATCTGATCTATTCTGCCAAGAGTCTGGGTGCTCGAGGCACGAACCAAGCCATCATATAAGGCAGGCAGCCTGACCAGGTCAGATTTGCTGCTGACGACTTCCTTGTTTGTTGATAGACCAGGAACCAGCCAAATCCAAAAGGCAGGAACTAGTTATCATAAATCCAAATTATAAATGCATCCTTAAAATCCACAGATGGCAGCCTAAAGCCTGTCTTCTCTTCAAAGAAATGTTGTCAATTGTGTTGAGGGACCAACTGATCAAATCCAAGTCCATAGTTATGATTCAGAAGATTTGTAAGAGAGGCTCTAAAGCAGTTTCACAGACAGACAGAGCAAATCAAAGCAGAGAGGGAGAGGAGGAACGTCCGCCCTTGAGAAGAGCAAGTGTTGAAAGAATGTAAAAAAGTGATGTAAAATATTAAAAAGAGGAACATGTCTGTGTTGGTTTTTGCCATGAACTTAGCTTAGCATGAAGGTTTTCTTTTCTAATGAAGCCAACGGCGAGCAGCGCAGATGACTGACACCAGATTTAAACCTTCGTTTTTGTTTGGTTAAATAAAATAACTAGTGCTGTTTGTAACATAAAAACAGGAGACTTAGTGTGTCAGAATGATAATTTCACTGAGTTAAAGTACAGTAGATAAATATGAACTTTTTTGTTATTGTTGTAGAACCAGTCCAGGCTTCTGGATATAATATTCAATGTCTTTCAGATACTGTATTTATGTGTTCTGTTAGAATGTAACCTATGATGGTCATTTTGTTTATACACACATTTAGTCAGAATGAGAGATTTTGTATTAAAAACGAACACTGCCAGTGCATGGATGGCAGCAGTCAGGGTCCAACTCACTCAGCCGGTCCCAACAGAACCAATCAAGTGTGTTTTCCTGTCTGGCAGGACTGAAGGCATGGAGGTGGATGAGAGGAGCCTGTTCAGGAAAGTAGGTGCCATTATTTCACCCACACTCCTCTGTTGTGTTAAATGACATCAATGAAGAGTTCACAGCATCCTGGTGATTGTTTGTTATGGATTCTGATTAATAAGCTAATTGTGCGTTTGTTGCATGTCAGCCTAACTCTGCACCCAGAATGTCGATCATCAAGCTTCCTCAGGAGGAAAGGATGGGTGTGCTATCTGCTCTTTCTCATCATACTGCAGGTTTGACACTGTTTACATCTTCTTACGTGTATCTGTATGAAGCCTGTTTAGCTCCCTGCACAGAGAATGTGTTACAATCAAATTAAATTCAATTCATCCTGATGCATGCTCAATAATCCAGGTAGAAAAATCTAAAAAAGTTCAAACTGGTCCTCTGGACATTCAAAAAAAACAAAAAAAAGCAAAACAACAAAAAAATGTAGAAACGTTTCATCTTTCATCCGAAGGACTTCCTCAGTCTGAGGTGCTGTTTTCAGCTCAGTCTCTTAAATAGCACCTTCTCAGAGTGGATCAACCAGTTTGCTGCTGACAACCAGAACCAGCTGATCACATGCTCAAGAAGGACCATCAGCCTAACAATGGATCATTAGCACCTGATGACTGTTTACTGTTCACAGAGGGCTGAGTGATACTAGCAATCACAGCATTGTAAGAGGGGGACAGTTGCACACTCCGCCCCCCCGTGATTTCCCCGTTAGCTCACTGCAGCGGTCCGCTCGAAAAAAAAGTCTGTCATCCAGCTGGAAGACTGAGTCCGGCGTTTCACTTGTAATCCACGTTTCCGTGAGGCAAAGCACTGCACACTTCTTCATCTCTTCTGAGGCGCCCGCTCTCAGACGAAGTAAATCCATCTTGTTGTCCAACGAGCGGACATTCGACAGAAAGAGAGACGGCATGGGGAGTTTACCGGCTTTAGCGTTAGCTCGTAGCCTCACCATAACCCCCGCCCGGCATCCTCTCCTCTTAAGCCGGGAGCAGCGCTTCCTCTTCTGCCCGCTGGAACGCCTCTGCTGCAGCTTCCAGGTAGATGACTTTAAGATCTGCATTCTGCCGAGCGTAGCTTTGAGTTTGTTGCTGATTTCTGCTATATTTCGTGGCAAATCCGCTCCTATTCTCATCAGTTCGGTTCGGCTATAGTTCACACGCATAAATCGCGCAGAGTCAGGCACAGAGTCAATATCAAAACTTCTAAAAACTGGGATGGTACCGGGAGCCTGTGAAGCTGCAACTGCTCTGAGCGCGGCCATCTTTGTGCACATGTTCAACAAACACAACACACACCTCATCTTAGAATATCTTTACTCAGCACATCTGACAGTTTAGATCAAAATACTATAATTTTAAAGTGACAGTACTATAGTTAATCATTTTTTATCTGGCAACCCAACCGACATGGAAACTACAGCGTTTTTCATGTAAACCTGCTCATTTTTTGTTTATTCCCCGCAATAAACATTGAAGAAACACTAATGTTTCCAGAGGCTGTTCTGTGTAAACAGATCCTTATAGCAGGTAGATCACTTTGACTTGGTCCTTTTAAAAGGAGCTCCATGCTGAAAAAGTGTGGCCACCCCTGGTCTAAAGGTTTAAACAGGATGCAAACAGAGTTCATATTCTAAAGTCTGAACTTTATTTATCTGATGTTGTGTTCAGGCACCATCCCTCACAGATCATCCAGCCAGATCCTTCCTTCTGCTCACTCAGCCAGTGTCAGGTGAGAAACGTCCTCCATCATGTGATCACATCACGCTACCTGTGGTCGTTCAGCTACAAACAGATTTTTGCACGGGTCACAAACATGGTTTGGTTTTTAAAATCTAATTTCTGAAAAGTTCCGAAATGTCTCCAAGTTCTGTCCAGTCAACAAAAAGCCCAAAATGTTCAAAGTTCTGACTCTACTTTTTTAACTAAACCACTTTCTTACATGATGTGGTGAAGTTTAAAATAATTCGGTGACTGTAGTTTTATTGGTTTTACTTTCAGATTCTGTTGTTTCAAAGTAAACCTAAAGGTCTCACGGTGCCTTGCAGCAGCAGCGACGTGCTGCACGTGTCTCCTGCTCTTCTCTGGCTCTTACGTACTTGTTGTAAACACTGGGTCGTTGTGTTTTCCTGCAGTCGTTTTCAGATGACACCCGTGACCCCGGAGTCTCCGTACGCTCAGAGTTCTGTGTGGACGTCTCCAGTCTTCAGGCCTCCGTCCTCCTTCAGGCACTCCATGTCGTCTCTGCTCGGCCCGCCACCTTAAACCATTCAGAACCAGAGGAAGTCAATATGGCCACTGATGTCTGTGTAGAGCTCTTTATGAGTCATGAAGTGTTACTCTAACCTTTGTGCTGTGAAATGTGTTGTTCTGTACTGACTGATGCAGGCGTTCTTTTTTCAAACTACAAGTCAAATAAACTGATACAAAATGTCCTAAGTCTGTGTCTTCATCATAAAATTAGGAATGTTATAACTATAAATGTTTTCTCAACATCTTATTCAGATATTTTCATTAAATACGTCTACATTGATGGAAGCATCATGAAATGGCCTTCCAGTACTCAACAGAGGACCTGCTCACTGGCAGGGCAGGTGGACAGACGGATCCTTCAGGAGCACAGAGTCCAATTTGAAGTGACCCACTTTATGGTCCTGCTGACCAGAACTAGTGAGGTGACTTGTTTTTTCACATCTGTTAGAAAACATCTGCAGTGGATCCTTCCACAAACAATATCTCCTGAAGGCTGCAGCCAGGAAAGCTCCTTCCTGAGGCGCACGGTGAGGAAGGCCGATGTGTCCGGGCAGGTCCGTTCATTTTTGCTTGTATTGTCACGGTGTTGAATAATGTCTATTGAAGACGGCTCAGGTGTGACTGTGTGTGTGTTCTGTGCCTGTGCACGCAACATTCAGCCACTGGTTGTGTGTGTGTGTGAAGTTTTGTACAGAGTCAGAACGGGTTTCCTGTTTTTTTAAGGTGCACATTTAAATGTCCCCCCGAGGCGGCCATGGCGTCCCACATTGATAACATCCTGCTGTCATGGGGGGTTGGGTCCTCTCAGTCCATTAATGGAGATGTGTTTTGAGTCTGTTTGGTCGATTGTAAAATATCAAAACAAGTTGAGATACAAAGACATTCCTTTGTTTTTGTTCATCTCGTTTCCTCTTCAACTTTCTCCAGCGCTCACGCTCTTCTGCTCCGTCCGCCTCGGGCCGTACAAATGAGCGGTGCCGAACTGTTCAGCTAAAGAAAGCTGTTGTGATGTCGGAGCACTGTGACCTCCGTCAGCTGTGCGCTGATGAGAGCAGACACTTTGTCACTCTGCAGTTTACTCTCGTACCTTCAGTGTTGTGAAGTGTAATCCCCTCCAGGCAAGACATGACATGAACTAAATGATTTCACAGAGGAGCTATTTGTCTTTCAGAGAAGAAGAATGCCTTCCTGCAGCCGATGATGTGTGATCTCTGTGACAGTGCTCTTTAACATTTATCTTCAAATATGGAGGACTGATAAAAAGGACCTTGTTTAAACGTCCAGAAAGCTGAATGTATTTGAGAAAGTCCGTAACTGAAACTGAAGTTTTCAAATTCAATTCAAAATACTTTATTAATCCCAAAGGGAAATTATTGTTGTTGTAACTCGTTATCCTCATTTCATTAAGAGATGTTATAGATGCTGATGCTGTAGACAGGAAGGATATCTTGTAAAGGTCCATCCCACAGTGGATCCTAAGAAACTGGCTGCAGATGCCGTCCGATCCGTCCACACAGACCCAGCTGGACTCCCGGTTCCCCCGGGCTGCAGGACCACCTGAATGCAGGACAGAACTCCTCCCAGAGCGATGGCCACTCCTCCCAGCAGCCTGCCGAGCTCCTCCTCGCTGCCGACAGCCAACTGTAGGTACAGAGGGACGATCCTGTCCTTCTGCTGTCATGAGCCATGCTTCCTGCTAGTTCCAGGATCTCAGTGGTCAGGCACTCGAGCACAGCTGACAGGTAGATGAGAATGCATCCACAGAACATCCTTTTCAACTCATTCTAGTTTTGGGGCTGTAGTTGAGATATTATTTGAGCTTTTGAGATGTTAACCAGCTGCTGGTTGTAGAAAACTGCCTTGTTGCCATGGTTACGCATCATAACAAATGTCCAAAACTAAAAAGGTTTCAGTAAAAATCCTTCCAGCTGCACAGCATCTGATACCAGAGGAAACAATCATCCAAAAAATGTGATTTACATCCAGAAAAAGAGGAATTAAAGTTTCCAAAAGCAAAATCCCAGAATGAAAGAAACAGAGCTACAGAGCTTCCACTGACAGAGCAGATGTTTCTCCTGAGTCGTGTTAGTCTGCAGGCGTGTAGACCTCTGACTGTGACTGTGAGCGGGGTGTGCATGTGGAAATGTCACGCAGAAGTGTTTGAGGTGTTGGTTCTATTTCTTCACAGGTGATGTCAGCACAGCGTGCAGCTTTAATGACACAACATAACGTGACAGTGAAGACAGATGTCCTCAGGACACGTTCAAACATCTGCCTTTGACATTTTGTTTGTCAGAGGATCAGATTAGGATTCATTCAACCTTTATTTCTACGGGTGAGTCTCCAAGACTCATTTACAAGAGAGACATGATTTTACCAAAGAATGATGACAACAGTGAACAGTCATAAAAGGAAGCATACTAACAGAAGAAAAAATGAAAGAAAATGGTATTAAAAAACTGAAACACTAGGTTATCCAACGCCATCCTGCCGTGTAAGAAGGACAGCACCGTTTATGTTAAAGTGAAGTGGGAAAAAGAAGGCAGCCTGACGATTCCAGAGGAGGACTGGGACCACATCTGTAAGATACCATGGACAACAACAAGATCAAAGGTTTGGCATGAATTTTGCTGGAAAAGCATTATTATTATTTTTCATAACCCCAGAGCAGAAACGATATGAGGGAAGGGGCGATGCCTGCTGGAGATGTGGCAGGAATGGTGCCAATCATTTCCATATTTTCTGGGACTGCCAAACCATTCAGCAATATTGGTCTCAAATCCATGAACATTTACAGAACATTTTCACATTTCACTTTCCTTTAACCTTTCAATGCATATTTTTCTATAACATACCGGTCAACAAACTTAATTATAATGATCAAAAACTTCTGTTCATTTTGCTGGCGGGGAGCAAAAAGGCCCTCACAAGAAAATGGCTTAAACAGGAACCTCCAACACCTGAAGACTGGATTAATGTAGTGAAAGACATTTATGTATTGGAGAAACTGTCTTTTTCCATTAATGTGCAGAGGGACACCTTCTACAAGACATGGACAAAGTGGACAGAATGTCAAACCTGTTGTCTGATTTTTTGTAAACCTTGCTGTCATTCAGATTGATGTTTGGATTTGATGTGAGGTCGATGATTAGTTGGTATTCAGGCTCCCCCGCCACTCCCATGTTAGTTCTGGTTGGTTTTTGGTGGTTTTGCTTAGCTTTTTTTGTTTTATTGCGTGTTGTTGTTTGGTTTGTGTACGTTTTGTGTTTTTTTTCTGGCAAAGAAAAAGTGAGAAAACTGAGAAAGAATGGAAAATGAGAACGAAATCAATATAATTATATCATTGTAATGTAACTGGCTTTCTCAATAAAAAAAAATCTGAAACAAAAACAGCTAGGTTGTAAAGTGATGTAGAAAACTAAAAACAGGAACATGTCTGCGTTGGCTTTTCCAGGATGGAGATCGATATACACAACTTATCAATATGTTTTTATCAATCTTGTTTATTATTTCTATTGTTATTATTTCCATGATATTATCAACAATTATTGACATTTCATTAATTAATTTACATTTTATTTCATTTTTAACAACTAGAGCCACTCCACCACCTCTTTTGTTGCTTCTGTTCACATGATATAATTCATACCTTCCATGTGAACGTTAGTTGTGTTTTCATCGTTGAGCCATGTCTCTGACAGTGCTATTATTGTAAAAATCTGTTATTTTGGATATATTTGCATTTAAACTTCTACTATTAAAGTGAATAATAGAGAGACCTCCATTTGTCGTATTGATGTCATTAAACTGTTCTTCATTGTAATATTCACAGGCTTTTATTTCAGGGAAAAAATTTGTCTCAATCACATCTTCAACATTGTATATTTTAAACTCTAAGTCTTTGTATGTTGCCATGTTTTAATGTATGTGTTCATTTTATATTTTGTTAATTTCTTGTTTTTGAAGTTATGTCAATGATTTATCATCTGTCCTCTCCTGAACTCATTTTAGTTGTTCCAGATCCTTCAGGTCTTTTATTATTTTAGCCTGAGATCCTTCCTGTATTTTGATCCAGATGTTTCCATTTCTTGTCCAAGTTGATGCTATTTTTTTCTGTTTTTTCAACAACCTTGCTTCACGTGCAATATTTCCAATTTTTTTAGTTAGATGTTCATTTATGTAAACATTTGTTCCATTCAGTTTTTTTGCTTGCATTATTACACTGTTTTTACCTTATCAATGTTCAAATACATATTGAACATTATTATTGATAATCTTTATCTTGTTTCTTTATATATTGTATTGTTTATTAACATTTAGGAACTTTTGTGTGAAATCTTTTTATCTTTATATCTGTTGCTGCTGTTACGCTTGAATTTCCCATCCATGGGACAATAAAGGCTGTTTCTATTCTATTCTATTCTATTCTATTCTATTCTATTCTATTCTATTCTATTCTATTCTAACTGCAGTACGAAAAGAGAGATTAGTTAGACAAGCTTTCATAGAGCACTACAAGGCCAGAAGCATTACTACCACAAAGTGAGGTGAATGCTCCAGGGGAGAGTAGAGCTCGACTGCAGCCTTAAGTAGTGCTGGATCCTCATTTGTGAGATGACCTGCAGGTGTGGATAATTAGTGGCCATCTTGGATCCAAGAGCTGCAGAAGGCAATACTCTTCACCATTTGTTCTTGCCGAGAGCGGATGCTTCTCCCCTCCCTCTCCGCTTTGCTTTGCTGCTCTGTCTGTCTGTGAAACTTCTTCTGGGTCTCTCTTACATTTCTTCCAAAACATAATTATGGACTTTTTGATCAGTTGGTCCCTCAACTTAATTTTCAACATTTCTTCAAAGAGAAGACAGGCTTTAGGCGAGCCGATTTGCCCTGGTGGCATGCACGCAGCTGGATATCTCATCGACTTGGAAGACTTGTTGATGTGTCTATCTCTGCTGCCATTTGTGGATTTTAAGGACGTATATTTGATTGGATTTTTGATAACTGGTTCCTGCTTTT